CGGAGGAAACCCGGAAGTGAGGCAATCCATCGCAACGGACCCCAGAGCTTAAAAACCAGGCGGGAAAACACACCGATGCTTCATCAGAGGCTGCACTGAGGATGCTACCCAGCACGATAACGAAACGTCTGCGGAACAACAAAACAGCTCGGCAAGCCAACCAACCTCAGCACCCACAACCCGAGCTACAGATCTATTCCAAAACCTTAATTCATTAATAAATCGGAATTTAAAGCTAGTGTCAATAATGGTGACTGTTATTGTTTGTCATTGAAAAAAACACCCATCTGGTTCATTAACGTCCTTTTGGAAAGGAAATCTGCCATTCTTACCCTCTCTGGGCCACATGTGACTGCAACAGTTCACTAACATCAATCACTTCCACTTTCCTAGGGGGCAATTAGAGATCGGCACCAAATAATGATGGGCCTCATTGTCACTGAAGAATATAAAGAGAAGACCATTCAATCCTTCAAGCCTGTTCTGTCAATCAGTTAGATTATGTGATCAGTTAGATCTGTATCTCAGCTCTGTTTGACTGCCTTGGTTCCACAGTCCTTAATAAACTTCCCAAATTAAAATCTACTCGAGCTTCCATCCTGACCTGATTGGATTCCCTAAATGCCTCAATTTCACACAATGAGGCTGACTTTCAGATTGCACATTTTTTCCAGGATAGCCAAGAATTAGGAATAACTACGGATCCTAGTGTTACCTACACTTCAAAAACAGATGTAAAAGAAATAATTTATATGTTATCTTTCAAAACTCAACTGGACAGTGTATATTATAGTATATGCATAGTAGGTAATAAGGTAACTGGGAATATATTAAAGGCTTACTGTAAATTATTGAAGGTTCACATGCTGTCTGAGCTCTGAGGCTGGCTTAAAGCTTTGCAATTCACTTACAGGAATCTTTATTTGGCATTTTCAACCCTTACAACCACCCAGTTACAAATCTAGTTTCGGATCACTGCTTGTGTGTCACTGTTACTGATACAATATGATTCAAAGGCATTTAGGATTCCATGAGCATAAAATATAATGTGATGTTGACCCCAATTCCAGACATTAATCTATTTTTGTTTGGTTGGGAAAATTAGCTCCCATTTTGTATGGTTCACTAGCCTAACAGCAGTCCATCAATGATGGCTCATGTACAAATTCCTTTCTTGTTCAGTTGCTGACTGCATGCGAAACACACTGAATCAACCGGCCCTGACATCCTGGCCGTAGGGTAATCTAGTCATATGTCACGGTTGATGAAATGTCTGTAACACTGTGAGTCAATATCACACAGGGCTGCTACAAAACCAGAGAGAGACCTGTGAATAGGACCTGCACCGAAGCCTATCAAACAGAGCTCAATTAGAACGTGAGAGGACACTGTCGTGCCTGACATGCAACTGCTGGTTTGACTTTGGTCCTCTAGTGAATAGAAGGTGCGACGATACACACAATTATAATTCCTGTTTATATTACAAAATGTCTTGTTCTTTAGTTTGGTATGGATAGCAGTCAGGAACCTTCACCATATGTTCACAACCTGCGGACTGCACGTTGTGCTATTTTGAAATTCAGCCCTCCTTCTGCTCAGCTCTTCACTCAGTCTGCTTTCAATTACGTTCCAACATTTAGACCACCAGGAAAGTCCAATCACTCTTTATTCTTCCGTACTGTCAAAGATATTGGAATCGTGTTAGTATACAGCAGAAATCAGCATGCTCACACATGCATCAAGCGCACGTATTTCCAAAAGAAGGAAATGCACTATCATTATCTGCACATTACCACTCCACGATTCTTTTATGTGTTACAGGTATTTGTTTTCCAATCTTGTGGTAATAGCCTTAGATTATCCCTCTCTGAGCGTTTAAATGTTGTTTTCTGAAATGTATGTCATCTCTTGCAACTCAATCATACTGGTGTAGCTGGTCTTGTAAAATAGCTGGCACCCAACTATGCCTGACATTTTAGTACAGTGCCAGGGCTTCCTGTACGCTTCACCGTTTAGAACAATGAGGCCATGATCGTGTTGATAGATTCTGAGGGGGGCTTGATAGGGTCAATACTAAGAGTGTAGTGATTGTAATGAGGTCAGCCAGGTGGACCTCATAGAATATGAGCTCCCTGATTGGGGCTGTTAATCTGGCCCAATTAGGGAGCCCTGGCTGACAGATATAAACAGGAAAGTCAGAGGTTCTGTTCACTCTAGGAGCCAGCTCTGAGCTAGCTGGGTCAGTGTCATGTAATATGCCCCGTGTAAATAAAGGGTGACTTGGTGACAGGCCTCTGTGGAGTTACTTCAGTGGCGACAAGAGCGGGACTAATGATGCAACCATGCAAAAGCACCCACTAGCTGAAGCCCAACTGGACTTCAAACAAGCACTACAACTGGCTTTATCATTGGAAGATGATGCAAGTGGAGCAAATGAGCTGCAGGGCATTCCAATGGAAGTGGACACCCTTGCCAGTTTGATTGAGCTTGGGGAACACCACTTAAGTGAAGGCAATTGCATAGCCTCACTCAGGACACATCCTGAATAGAGAGACTCCAGGTCATCCCACAGCAAAACCCCAAAACAAAGCCAAGCCTTGAGGATCTGGGCCAGCAAGCCTTTGTAATTGCTGCCAGTGTGCAGACTCAATACAACAAAGGAATTTCATTAGGCCTGAACTGAGTCAGAGAAGTTAGGCTGGCATCCCGAAGAATGCATAGCCTGGAAAGTCCACTTACATCTGGTTTGGAACAGTTAAATTGCTTAGCAACATCCAAATCAGAACCAATCAAAATAACCGTCTGGTTAAATGGTCACCCAATTCTAATGGAAATCGATACTTGCACAGCTCTCCCAGTTATTGTGGAACCAGTCTTTACCAAAATTCACTCTGGACTCCAACCCTTAAGTTTGCCTAAGGCCTCGGCCAGGCTGAGAACCTACACTGGGGACCCTTCACAGATTAAGGATACAACTTCGGTTCTAGTCTCTAAATGAGAAACAGTTGGTTCAGTAAGCACTGATTGTAGTAAAAGGCTTGGGCCAAGCTTGGAGCGGAATTGGTTGAGGAAGATTAAAATTGATTGGCTCAACATTTTTTGATTAGTAAATGGCTACTTGAGTGAAGCCGAATTAAAAACCCAAATGTTTTTCAGGAAGGTCTAGGGACTATCAGGGATGCCCCGGCTCCTGGAGCTTAGGTCTTTCCTTGTGTTCGTGAATTATTATGGAAAATTCATACATTAGCTGGCCGCCATCCTGGCACTCTTCCATCTGCTATTGAAAAAGGGTCAGCCTTGGAAATGGTCTCGTAGCAAAGGAGTAGCCTTTAGGGAAGTGAAGAAGCAGCTCTCATCGTTTATGGTGTTGGCACACTACGATCCCAAGCGAGATGTGGTGCTGACACACAATGCCTCCCTGTACAGTATCAGGGTAGTGTTGGCTCACTGGTGGCCCAATGGAGAGGAACACCTGATAGCGTATGCTTCCCAGACTTTGGCTGTTGCCCAATGAAGATATGCTTAGGTAGAGAAGGAAGGTTTGGCGGTCATCTTTGGTGTGATGAAGTTCCATCAATACGTTTACAGATGTAAATTTGTAATAATAACAGATTACAAACCCCTGCTAGAGCTACTAAAACAGATAGGACCATACCGCCCATAGCTTCAGCTCTCATTCCGAGCACGTACAATTACAAGTTGGAACAGCATCTGGGAGAACAAGTGGCAAATGTGGATGCCTTGAGTCACCTCCCATTGGCAGATACACCAATAATGGTTCCACCACTAGACAAGTCCATTCTGGTTTTAAACTTTCTGAATACCCCTCTGGTCATCGCTGAAAACATCAGAGAGTGGATATAAACAAATCTGGTCCTGGTGAAACCAAAGCAGCTGGTGGTGATGGGGGAAAACCATAGGGCCATCACAACTAGAACTGAAACCTTTTTGGTCCCAGCGAGACCAGATTACGGTAGAGGATGGGCATATTACTTTTGTGGGGAGCAAGAGCAACTGTCCCGAGCAAGGGTTGCCACCTGATACCAGCTGAACTTCACCAGGGTCATTTAGGAGTTTCCAAGATGTTGGCAAGAAGTTATGTCTGGTGGCCAGGATAGGATGTCAACATAGTCACATTGGTGGGGCAGTGTCGAGAGTGCCAAGGACAAAAATTACCACCAACAGCTCCCCCACATTCAGGGGAATGGCCAGGTAAACTGTGTACTCGGTTACACGCCAACAAAGCTGGTCCATTCATAGGTTCAAATTTTTAGCCATTGTGGACCTCATTCAATGCAGATGAATGTGCATTGTGTTCATTCATCAAACACAGGGACCAATTTAAAAGCTGTGAGCATCTTTTGCAATTCATGGACCACGGAGGTGTCAGTCATAGACAGGGGGCCATCAGTTAGCAGAGAATTTGAGTATTTCCTTGAGTTGCATTCGGCATGTAAGGACAGCTCCATAGCATCCATTATCCAATGGTCTGGTGGAAAGAGCAGTCCAAGCTTTGAAGGCAGGCTTAAAGTAACAGCCTACAGCTTCACTCGATACCAAACTGTGCTGGCTCCTATTTGATTACAGGACCACTCCTCACTCAACTACAGGGATAGCTCCAGCAGAGTTGCTAATGGGGAGAAAACTCTGGACTAGGTTAAACCTGATCTTCCCAGACCTGGGCGTGGGGGTAAAACAGCATCAGGAATGCCAATGCCAGTCACAAGACTCTAAGCGGGAGAGACAGTTTACTTCAGGAGATGAAGTTTGGTGTTGAAACTGCGGAAATGGCCCTGAATTGGTAAGAAATATAGTCGACACTAGGTCAGGTTCCTGTCATATACAAAATTCGGGTTGGAGAGGCGGTCCTGAACAAGCACATGGACGACATGAAAGCTGCAACCTCTAAAATGAGGCAAGAGCAAAACATACCCGGCCCCTCAGATCATCCAGCAAGGCTGTCAGAACGTGGAGGTTCTCCCCCTCCACCTCGTGTCGAAGAAACCTCTGAGGCCAAGCTGGACACAGCAGATGTCGCAGTCTCGATGCCGTTACTACCTGCAGAAGATGAAGGTTGGTCCAGAGGTGTGGGGGTCAAGAAGTGGGTTATGGTCTGGTACACGCCACCAGCAACCGAGGCAGAGTCAGAGGAACCAGGCCTGATGCAAAAACGTCCCAGGAGCAGCCACCGGAAGAAGAACAGGCCTACATCCCAGGGAGGGGGAAGAGATGTAGTCAGGTCAGCCAGGTGGATTTCATAGAATATGAGCTCCCCGATTGGGGCTGTTAACCTGGTCCAATCAGGGAGCCCTGGCTGACAGATAATAATCAGGAGTGTCATGGGTTCTGTTCACTCTGAGCTGGCTCTAAGGGAGCTGGGTCAGTGTTAAGGACTCTCCACATGTAAATAAACAGTGACTTGGTGATGCGACACTGGCCTCAGTGGAGTTATTTCAGAGAGGAGGTTTCCTCTTGTAGATGAACCTCAAACTAAGAGGCACAGTTTCGCAGTAAAGAATCTCAGAGATGAGGAGGAGGGTCTTCTCCCCGTGGGTCGTTAGTCTTTAGATTTCTCCCAACCCAGACAGCAGTGGAGAGCACTCAGTCAGTGCCTTTATTCCCCAAGGCTGACTTAGACTGATCTGTGCTCTATTACAGAGTCCAGGGTTATGGTGGACAGATAGAAAAGTAGGGAGTTGATGCCATGATTAGATCAACCATGACTTGCTTGACTCGTGGACCTGGTGAAGGGAACCAATGACCTTCTTGTGTTCCTTTTACCTATGTTCTCACAGAGCATAGCACTGTAGGAGAAGCCAATTTTTGGATGAGGTATTAAACAATTAAGTTTCATGGATTCTGGCCTCATGAGTGAAGACTAAAGGTCTCATGTCACTTCTCAAGGAACAAGAGAATTATTCCAGTGCTGTGGCTAATGTTTACCACTCAACAAACAGAACTTCAAATAGTCTTTCATTTCTTTGTTGTTTGTGGGATTGTGGATTTTGGATGGCAAACTCCCTACATTTATAATAGTGACTATGCACCAAAAGTGACTCATTGGACATAAGTCCCCTTGGTATGTCTTGAGATCATAAAGATGTTACATAAATATAAAGGAAAAGAAAAGGCAGTCCAGACACCACTAAAATAGAATATTACATCGTGATACTGATTCCCGCTCAGAGTGTCAGACCCTGAGCTGGGATCAGGGTGTGACACTTAATGGGGGCAATTTTCTCAGAGTTGGTCATTTCCAACATGGGAAATAATTCTGCTTTCTTATTCACGCTTCTGCCAGATCCATCTTCACTTGCCACACAACCATCTCCCTTTGCCTTGCAACGTCATTACTTTGGTTATTTCATCTCTACAGCCTTCCAACCAAATCACAGACCCTCCCTCCTGCTCTTCCCCACACCTTCTGCACTTGTTCCAGCTCGAGGGTTTTCCAATTCAGACAAAGATTGCAGACTTGAAACTTCAATCCTGTTGTCAGCTGACTTGCCAAATATTTCTGGCACTTCCAGTTTTCATTCCAAAGATGAAAGAAAGTGCAATAGCAAGGTAGCTATGCTAAACCTTAATAAGACATGGGTTAGGGTCTCAGTGGTCGTGCGCTCATCTCCGGGTAATGCTCAGCTCCATTAACTGGGTACTGAACTCACCCAACAGTCCAATTGTATTTAGCAGCACTGTAGGTGTCAATACACCCCCATATACTACAGCGGTTCAAAATGATGGCTCACCATCACCTTCTCCAGGGTAATAAATGCTGGCCCAGTCAGCTACACCCTACATGCGATGGTCGAATTTTTAAAATTTAGGACGCAAGTGTTTCTGATGCAGTGCGGGGGGTAGGTCCTGGAAAGTGTTCAGGCGTTGGGACCCCTGACTCCGAACAGAGATCAAGCCCTCTTTGGCCATCCTACTGCATCCTTCTTATTTTTAAACACCAGGCCATCCCGATAAACTCAATGGAGTACGGACATTCAAAGAGAAGCTGAGGGCTGCAGTTGCTGGAAATTGGAAACAAAAACCAAAATTGCTGGAGAAACTTGGAAGGTCTGGCAGCATGTGTGTAGAGAAAGCAGAGTTAATGTTTTGAGTTCAGTGACCCTTCTTCAGAACAGGTGAAGAAATATGTATTCATCACCTGGGTGTTAATTATTGAGTACCCCATATTTTTGCTGCAATGAAAAAAACCATTGAGCACAACTGGGGAGATGATGTCCTAGTGGTAGTATCAGTAGATTATTAACCCAGAAACCTGAAGACCCAGGTTTGAATTCCACCACAGCAGATGGTGGCATTTGAATTTAATAAAAACAAAACCTGCAATTAAGAGTCTAATGATGACCTCAAAATGATTATCAGTTATTGAAAAAACCCATACGGTTCACTAATATCTTTTAGGGAAGGAAACTGCTGTCCTTACCTGGTCTGGACCATATGTGACTCCAGACCCACAGCAATGTGGTTGACTCTTACACTACCCGTCGGGCAATAAATGCTGGCCTAACTAGCAATGCCCACATCCCATGCACGAATGTAACAACGTACTGGCCTCCAGACACACACACACAGACACACGTCTCTGCTCCACCGCCCCATGAAATTTCACTTGCATGCCACTGTTAGTCATGGCCATTATGTTCCCAGGGAAGTGATGCTACACACTCACCTGTATGTCAGCAAGGTTTTCAAAGAGTTGAGTTGCTAACTTTGGTCCATTTTCCATGGTTGGAATATGCAGGTTCTGGAAAAACAAAGAGAAAGAAAACTAAGTGCAAGGTTATAACTGTGTCACTGCCATCTATGCCAATCCTAGACAGCCACTTAAATATCAGTGCTTGGCGGTTTGGGGAGGCAGGCGAGACAAGTTTCTAACCATTCATACCTCACTGAATTCTCTCAATGCAATGGGTCAAGTGGGAAGAAGCTTCCAGTAATGCAGGGAAGTATCTAATTCCCAGGCTAGTTGTGAGGGCCGATAAATCTGCAACAACTGAGCAAATACAACAAGTATCACTTCACACCTCACATTTGTTACATTTGTCAGCAATGGCCTGAAAGATTGAATCACGGTAAATGACTGTGTGCGTGAGGCTGATACTAAGTGGCTAAAAGATGCCGCCATTTTGTTTGGTGGTCCATCTGTGAATGGGAAGAACCAACAGTCAGAAACGTAGAAAAACAGGAGGAGTGGGCCATTCGGCCCTTCGAGCCTGCTCTGCCATTCAATGTGATCATGGCTGACTCAGTACCCTGTCTCTGCTTTCTCCCCATACTCATGGGTCCCTTTAGCCACCAAGAACTACATCTAACTCCTTCTCGAAAACATTCAAAGTTTTTGCCTCAATTGCTTTCTGAGGATACGATGCTTCTCCTGCTAGATGGTCTCTGGTGGGTGAGAGAGATGCCAAGCAGAGGTTTCTGTCTCCGATCCCCTGATCTGATAGATGGACCGACAGAAGCTGCTGAGAACCAGGTGACTGCCGCTATTGTCTGCACTTCAGCCTTTTTTCGAAAAAGGAGGAAGGGTTTGTGAGGCAACCTGCGTGGAACAGATAATTTTGGGTCATAGCTGAGCACGAAATGAGGCTTGCAAAAATTGATCTCAGGCGAAGCAATCTCCCATCTGCATCAAAGGGACAAGGCCTGTGTAGACCCTGAGTAAATTTGGGCAGCTCATCACAAAAAAACATTTGTTCGATTCCAGCACATTGTGCTCAGACAGCATAAAATCATGAAATGTAAATTTTCAATGCACAGAATTAAAAGCACTAAAACAGACATTAAGCCCATCTAGTCTATGTTGTCTCCTACACTCACTGCCTCTTCCCATCCTGTGACCCTCTGCTCCCTTCTCCCTGGTGTAAGCATCAAGCCTCCTCTTAGATGCAGCAACCTAATCCGTCTCAGTCATTTCAGGTTGCATCTTTGGGATCGCTCGAGAAACATCTTAATTTCAAATTTCTCAACACTGTTTCCATTTCCGTCCACGACCTTATCCGTCCCCTCTCTAATTCTATAATCTCCTCCAGCTCCACATCTTTCCACGACATCTGCCACTTCTCTTGTGCTGGCATCTTATAAATGTTTCATCATTGGTGGCCATGCCTTTGGTTGCCCTTACACCTCTCTACCTTTCTAACTCACTTCCCTCTTTTAAAACACTTCCTAAAACTTACCTCTTTGACCAAACTTTGGTCTCTCATCAACTTTTACAGATGCGCAATAGGAAGCATTCCGTCTGGGTGCGTAACATAGAACATAGAACATAGAACATAGAACATTCAAACAGGACAGACTGTTTGGAAAAGGCTAGCAATCAAACACTGGAAAAATGAATGAAAATAAGAAGTGGGAGGGTTAATACAGGACTGAAAGGGTTACAACTGAATGCACGCAGTTTAAGGAATAAGGTAAATGAGCTTGTGGCGCGGATCGAAACTGGCAGGTATGACGTGGTAGGCATCACGGAGACGAGGCTGCAAGGGGATCAGGATTGGGAACTAAATATCCAAGGATACAGGCCCTTCGGCCCTCGATGTTGCGCCGACCTGTGAAACCAATCTGAAGCCCATCTAACCTAAACTATTCCATTATCATCCATATGTTTATCCAATGACCATTTAAATGCCCTTAAAGTGGGCGAGTCTACTATTTTTGCAGGCAGGGCATTCCACGCCCTTACTACTCTCTGAGTAAAGACAACTTGGTATGGCAACTCAGAGATAGTAAGAACTGCAGATGCTGGAGTCAGAGATAACACAGCGTGGAGCTGGTGGAACACAGCAGGCCAGGCAGCATCAGAGGAGCAGGAAAGCTGACATTTTGGGTCAGGACCCTTCTTCAGACCCTTCTGAATCCTCACTACTGCCTACCTGCACTCACCTATCACCATCCCGCCTACTTTCCCCAGCCCCACCCCTCCTCTCTCTATTTATTTCAGAGTCCCCTTCCCCCTCCCCCATTTCTGAAGAAGCGCCCTGCTCCTCTGATGCTACCTGGCCTGCTGTGTTCCTCCAGCTCCACACTTATCTCTTGGTATGGCAATTGCTTTCCCATTAGAGACCACAGAAAGTTGTGCGCACAGTCCAGACCATCACAGAAGACAACCTCCCATCCATGGACTCTGTCCACACTTCTTCTTGCCACGGAAAGGCTGCCAACCTCAAAGACCCCTCCCAACTCAGCAAAGCTCTCTTCCAACCTCTTCCGCCAGGCAGAAGATACCGAAGTTTGAACACATGCACCAACGGGTTCAAGAACAGCTTCTTCCCCACTGTTATTAGACTGTTGAATGACCTCTCTAATCTCAAATCTAATGTTGATCTTGCTTTTGTGCACCTCCTGTGCAGCTGTAATTTTGTATGCCTCGCTGTGTCTAAACATCCTACGATCTCTATGTCCTTGCATGCTATGATCTGCCCATACTGCTCACAAAACAGAGCTTTTCACTGTACTTGGGACAACAACAAACCAAATCAGATCAAATCATCTGCCCTAATCTCTCCACGTGACTCAGTATCAACTTTGTCAAGATTGAATTGCTCGGTGTAAAACCACTTAACCTTAAATCAAATGGCAAACGCTGGTGTCTTGATGTTGTGTTTAAGGCACTCAACAACCTGGAGAGTATTTAAATCCTTTCATTTAAAAATCTACTTTTCATGAAGCTTTGCTCACCTACTCACCTTCTTTATGTGAATGGAGATCAATTTCTTATAATGTGTCTATGAAGCACGTTGGTATGGTTTACTATGTTAAAGATGTTGGTCTGTTTATACTTATTCCTGTAATTGTTTTAAATTGTATTCCATTAAGATCAGCAAATATTCTTCCACTTTTATTTTTATCAGGACCTTGACTCGAAGGTAGGAGACAGAGGGTGGTGGTGGAGGGTTGTTTTTTTAGACCGGAGGCCTGTGACCAGCCTGTGCCACAAGGATTGGTGCTGGGATCACTGCTTTTCGTCATTTATATAAATGATTTCAATGTGAATATAGGACGTTATTACATTTGCAGATGACACCAAAATTGGTGGTGTAGTGCACAGCGAAGAAGGTTATCTCTAGAGTATAAAGAGACCTCAATCAGATGGGCAAATGGGCCAAGGAGGGGCAGATAGAGTTTAATCGAGATAAATGTGAGGTGCTACAGTTTGGTAAGGCAAATTGGGGCAAGGACCTGAGGAGGGTTGCCGAACAAAGAGAGCTTGAAGTGCAGGTTCATAGTTCCTTGAAGTAGAGTCAAAAGGTAGACAGGATAGTGCAGAAGGCATTTGGTACGCTTGCCATTTTTGGTCAGTGTATTGAGTATAAGAGTTTGCAGGTCATGTCGCAACTGTACAGGATATTGCTTAGGCTATTTTTGGAATACTGCACTAAATTCTGGTCTCCCTGATATAGGAAAGAAACTTGAAAGGGTTCAGTAAAGATTTACAAGGATGTTGCCAGGGGTGGAGGTATTGAGCTATAGGGAAAGGCTGAATAGGCTGGGGCTAATTTCCCAGAAGCATCGGAGGCTGAGAGGTGACCATATAGAGGTTTATAAAATCTTGACGGGCATGGATAGGGTAAATAGATAAGGTCTCTTTCCCAGGGTAGGGAAGTCCAAATCTAGAGGGCATAGGTTTAAAGAGAGAGGGAAAAGATTTAAAAGGGACCTAAGGGGAAACTTTTTCATGCAGAAGGTGGTACATGAATGAAATGAGCTGCCAGAGGAAGTGGTAGAAGCTGGTACAATTACAATATCTAAAAGGTATCTGGATGGGTATATGAATAGGAAGGATTTAAAGGGATATGGGCCAAAGGCTGGCAAATGGGACTAGATTAGTTTAGGATATCTGGTCAGCATGGACAAGTTGGTCCGAAGGGTCTGTTCCCATGCTGTACAGCTCTGTGACTCTGACTCTGTCGCCCCGTTAAATGCCCCTTCCTGCCCGATTATGTGAGGGTAGTTGATATCTCCTGAACTGTGCTTTAATGTGATGTGCCTACTGCAGTTAGCGAATCTCTCATCTCTCTCTTAAGCATGGGCTGAAGTTACTTTGTCAATTTACAATGAACGAGATGCCTCGTGTTTCTCACCTCACCCTGGTACAAGACCCGTGATATTGGACACAAGATGCAAGCAGTTCCTGAACCGAACATCTCCTTGACCCGGTTTTGCTTTGTTGCGATGAGAAGTTCCTTCATTGTGATGGAACGCTCTTCAACCTTGAACTGATTCTTTGTTTCGAACAAATAAACAGGAAAGCAATTAGGTCTTGTTCATCATTTCTTAAATCACTAATTAAGAATGTTTACTGAATATCTGTCCAATCACTATTGCAAAGCACCTGCAATTCAAGACACACTGATACATTTGAATTGTTTATGATTATATACACAAAGCACATGTATTTTCAATCAAAAATTGACACCTACCAAAAATATTTTATCAGATATTTACCCCATGGAAGTGCATGTGAACAGATACATCAGATTAAGGTAACTCTTCAGTCAGAAATTGAGTCTCAATGTTGACTACTGTACATCAAGACTGCAAGAAGTAGGCCATTCAGCCCATCAAGTCTGTTCTCTCATTCAATGAGATCATAGCTGATCTGATCATCCTCAACTCCACATTTCCCCATAACGCTTGCTTTTCTTACTGGCTAAAACCAGGTTGTGATTCTGATAAGCATTATGCTAATATTTAACATTCTTATCTAAGTTAAACAGAGAGATTAGCAGATAACAGATTAGATGCCATTTGAATGTAGTGAACGTAATGCTCTCTCATTGAGCAATATCTACTGACCCACTTGCGTGTAAGATCCAGAATGCTTTGTCTTACTACTCCAGGTAATATCACGCCATCTAGTGGTGGTGTTACCAGCTCCTCCTCTAGAGAACAGAACAGATTGTACACTTAAGCAAATATATATACAGCAAGAACACTAACACACTGAATCAAGACTGAACTAACTCCACAGAGGCTGGTATCCTGTCACCAGGTCACACATGGAGAGTCCTGGACACTGATCCAGCTCCCTCAGAATCAGCTCTCAGAGTGAACAGAACCCCTGACACTCCTGTTTATATCTGACAGCCAGGGCTCCCTGATTGGATCAGATTAACAGCCCTAATTCAGGGAACTCACTTTCTGTGAGGTCCACCTGGCTGACCTTATTACAATCACTACAGACATGCAATCTACCAGAAAAGAAATCCAGTAGCAGACCAGCTGTACAATTCTGCTCCATTTCCTGCAGTCTTTTAAAGTGCACCCATCACCAATGCCTTTGAAAGAGCTGTGCATTTACTGCCCTTCTCCCATAACCCTGTAAATGTCTTCTTTTCCAGTATTTATCTGAATCCCCTCTGAAAGTTACTGTTGTATCTGCTCACCACACCCTTTCAGAAGGTGAATCTCAGACTCTCAAACAGGTCACTGTGTTAAAAACAAATGCTCCACTCTGGTCCCTTTGTCAGTTATCTTAATTTCTCATGATATTTATGACTACATGAACAAAATAAGGACTTTTTGTTTGTTTTCAGAAACTTCCAAAGGCATTTTGACTTAGAATTTGTTTTCAAGTCGAATCCTAGCCCAGTCTGTGCCTGGTTTCTCACTTTTATCTGTCCTTCAGTCTCTCACGGGATACGGGCATCTCTATATGGTAAAGGCAGCATCTCTTGTCCACCCCTCACTGGCTTTAAACTGAGTGGCGTGCCAAGTAGTTTAGAGTCAGCAATGTTGGGGTCAGGAGTCACATATAGGTCAGGCCTCCTTAGTATAGGGTGTTATGAGTCAGAGAATGTTTTTTACAACAATCAAGAAAACTGTCATGGTCACCATTATAGAGATCAGATTTATATTCTAGACTTACTAATTGAATTGTAACTCCACAACCTGTCGTGGTTAGATTTAAACTCACTTCCCCAGAGCTTCAGCCCAGACCTCTGGATTACCAGACCAGTGATGTATCATTGTGCCACTATCCATCTAGCAAGCAATTCCTCCATTCTCCCTCTCTTCAGATTATCTTCATCAACAGTTAACAGAGATTGACAGGGTACGGGATATTCGTTACAGCAGTAAAATAAACTACGTGCATTATTAAGTTGGCTGTGTAGCAATTTCTAACAAACAGAGAGATTTAGATTCTGTCCTCACTCAAGCAGACAGTGGCTTATTCCCAGACCTCTGTTGATGCATCTCTTAGTCCATCAGCAGAATGGCTAGGAATGGCCCATTGTTGCATTATTTTTCCTTCCCTCCCCGCAAGGGAGCCTCCAGTAACTGCTCGGTACTTATCAAAGGGACACCACCACATTGAGAAAGCTTCCAGAGGAAGTGACAACTTTGGCACAGAGGAAGAAATCCTGCCTCTTAGCTAGAAGGTCAGGAGTTTGAGTCCCACACCAGAGACTTGATGTATGATCTGGACTGACATTCCAGTGTTGTTCCACTGATGGTGCTACCCCTTTAGGTGATATCTGTGCTCTCATGTGGTTATAAAAAGGCACTGTTCAGAGGAAAGCCTTTTCCTGATGGCCTGGACATTACTTATCTCTCAACCAACATTGTAAACTGACAGAAAGCAAAATACTGCAGATGCTGGAAATCTGAAGCAAACACAGAAAAATGCTGGAGAAACTCAACAGAGTTTGACAGCATCTGTGGAGACAGAAACAGAGTTAACATTTCAAGTCTGATATGGGTCTGTTCTCAGAAATGAAACATTGCAATGCATTTAACATGTTGGAAATGCAAGGGAGGCAGAACTGAAGACCTGTATCAGAGGTTAGCTCTGTTTCTCTCTAGAGATGCTACAGGACCTGCTGAGTTTCTCCAGTACTTCCTGGGTTTGTATTATGAACTAATTATTTAGCCATCACCCACCTCATTTCTGTGTGTAGGACCTTGTTGCGTGACATACATTTCAACAGTAATTGCACTTCACTTACTGTCCAATAGAAGTTCGGTGCCTATGAAAGTGCTATACAAGTTTTCTTTTTGTTTTTGATTCGGAATTGTCATCAGTGCAAAGATTTAATCCACTATCGATTTGGGATTGGCTACAGTAAATTAGGACAGATCATGGCTTGTACCAAAGACGCTTCTAAAATGAGTAATCACCGGGACTGTACTCCAATTGGCTGACGCTAATGTTATTGGGGTAGGGAATGGATAGTTAGGGAGGGTAACCTATCCATCACTGTTCCTGCATCTCAGTGTGAGGACCTTGTCTGAAAGAGTGGCAGGAGCACATTCCATAGTAACTCTGCAAAGGGACCTGGATCCCTATTTTAGAAAGGAGGAATTTGGAGGACTACGGGAAAACAAAAGGCAGGGGCAAGCACAACATGAGCTGGTGCACTCTTGTATGTCAGATCATGAGTGAATTCCCAGAGGATTGAGAAAGGATTTACCAGGATGTTGCTGGGAATGCAGGATTTGAGATATAAAAATAGTCCGGAAAAACTGGGACTTTTTTCACTGGAGCGTAGGAGGTTGAGGGTGACCGTATTTAGGTTTATAAAATCATGAGGGGCATAGATAAGGTGAAAATCAAGGGTCTTTTCTCTAAGGTGGGGGCAGTTCAAAACTAAGGGGCATATTTTTAAGGTGAGAAGAGAAAGATTTAAAAAGGACATGAGGGACAACATTTTTCCACAGAGAGCATGCACCATGAATTGCCAGAGGAAGTGGTGGATGCGCGTATAGTTACAACATTTAAAAGACATTTGGATAAGTACATGAATAAGAAATGTCTGGAGGGATATGGGCCAAACACAGGCAGGTGGGACTAGTTTAGTTTGGGACTATGGTTGGCGTGGACTGGTTGGACCCGAAGGATCTGTTCCCTTGCTATATGACTCTATGACACCTGAATATAATCGAACATTTGATCAATGTTATTGAACAGTGGGATCTATGTTCCACCTGCCTGTTCATATTGCTTGTACTCAGTATTCCAGCAGCACTTGGCTTGGCAGAGGAAAGGGACTAAGAAGATCCAGAAAGGGCTGGTTGTGAGGTGAGCTGATGTAAACGGTACTGCATCAAATGAGGATGCTCAGCCATGCAGCAGGTTTCCCATGAGTGGCAGAGAGAGGATGCTGTGCCAGAAGGCCTGATGTACTGTACTAGACAGTCCTGCCTCTCACACAGCTATCCATGATACATCCATACAATAAAGTCAATGACCATCAGAGTTGTTCTGGTCCACTGTCTCCTTTAACATGGACCTGGCTCTAGATACAGCTGATGACCCTGCGATGTTAGTCAGTTTGACAAACCAACCAAGTATGCAAGGAAAGCACAAGAACAAGAGGGTCCCATTCAGCTCCTCAGACTTGTTCCCCTACTGAATCAGCTGATGGCTCTTCTGTATCTTAATTCCACTTACAAACCTTCTTTGATACACTGACACAACTAAACTCTCTCAAACGAAGTCTTGAGACTCCCAGCATCCACTGTCCCCAGGGGGATTTTCACTCGCTGTTGTGTGAAGATGGACTTGCTGACTTCTGTTCCTGAAATGGCCGGGTTTTCATTTTAAGATTGTACCCCATTGTCCTGGATACCTCCAGCTGAGGTTTTAATTCCTCCATATCCACCCTATTGAATCCTTTAACATTTTTAACACTTCAATCAGATCATTCCCAGGCGACAGTATTCAGGAGATGCACAGATAGGCTGCACACCTCCACAGGACTTTCACATAATCCAAGTCAATCAGTGAGTGTAGTGAGCATGCCCAGATCTCTATACACAAATACAATCTCCACATGGCCTGACAAAGGAGGGATGTGAACCTCAAACCATCTCAATGAGACTGTAGGATGAAAATAACAGCTCAGGATCATAAATGTCATTGGGGAGGCAATGGCCTAGTGGTATCATTGCTGGACTATCAATCCAGAGGGCAAGATAATGTTCTGGGAACCTGGGTTCAAATCCTGCCATGGCAGATGATAGAATCTGAATTAAATTTTAAAAAAAAAATCTGGAATTAAAAATCTAACGATGACCATGAAACCATTGTCGATTGTTAGGAAAAACCCATCTGGTTCACCAATGCCCTTTAGGGAAGGAAGTCTACCATCCTTACCTGGTCCAGCTGACATATGACACCAGACCCACAGCAATGTGGTTAGCTCTCAATGCCCTCTGGGCAATTAGGGATGGACAATAAATGCTGCTTGGTCAGCGATGCCCTCATCCTGTGAATGAATTTTAAAAAATGCTTGAGGGAGCCAAGCTCGGTCCCTGCAAGGTTTCCACTTTGAATGGTAAAGACAACACCTAAACACACAGGACAACCCACAGCATTAAAGGGACTGAAGAACGGGCATTGTTCCCTTTCTGCCCACAGCCTGGAATGGCTCAGCTCTGGCCCATTTCTGTGCATCTCCTCGCAGTTTTAATTGCAACACTGCCTCCCTTGCATTCCCAACATGTTAAATGCATGTAGGCGCCTATCAAAGGATTCAAGGGCTGTTCTCAGCACCAGGTTATCTAATTATGCAAAACCAGGCGTCAGACTGAATCTAAAACATTTATCTATGTGCATCACAAATGTCAACTTGTAATTTCTCGTAGGCAACAGTTTTCATCTGAGGTTTTCTTCACCCCATCATTAGTGACACCGCCTTCTGTTGCCTTGACATTCTGTCTGATAAGAGTGTAGATTGTCTTGAGATGTTTAACTACATCAAGAGGCTCTTTATCAACGCAAGTTGTTCTTAAGCTGCAGCAACCCATTCTCCAAGTCAGATTTCCTGTATGCACCCATGCTCTCTGTAGGACTGACGCATTGCATAGTCTCAAGGGGTAAACATTCATCTGATAAACATCTGAACCCTTGCAGCAGGCTTGGTTTACAAAACAGGTG